TGAAATTAGCGTCAAAAATAAAATGTTCAAAAGTCTCTATTGGGTTGCCTAAAATGATAGTTATCATGGTCAGGTTTTCAGAAATATAAGAACACTAGAAGCGAGTTATAAGCGAAGAAGTTATGACCAACCTAAGATTCCAACAAAACCGTCAATACGATTAAACGTTAAACGCGAAGTTTTAATAAAATACTTTTTTTACCCTTAAGTACCTAAACGAAAGTCGTAATATCATTAAACCGTGAACATACATAAAAGAACGCCCAAATCTGACTTCGTATGAGGAAGTTATGATTTTTCGAAGTTTCGGATATAGCAGTAGACAGCTAAAAACTCGAAATAGAGAATCGAGAGATTTTTGGCCGAAACAATCTAATGAGAATCGAAGATCTCATCAATAGTAGCGCAACGGTAAAAAGTCTGACGAAAACGGGCATCGGATGAAGGAATTATGGCTTTATGACGGAGTTTTCGTGTCCCGGCCTGTTCAAAATAAATTAATTAAAAATAAAGTCAAAATTAGCCGACGAAATCTAACGAGAGTTGTAAAGAGCATGTTTCTCACCTACGCGTGCATATATAGAACGTCGAAAACGGAGCTCGTACGCAGAAGTTACGGATTTTACAAAGTTCGAAGACACAAAATCTGAGGCTGTCAGGCTGGCCACGACGTGGCACAGAAGGCCACGACGTGGGGACCTGATTGAGGGGGTTCAGGCTTGGCAGCAAACGTCTCGTCCATGGAAGAGGATAGGACGAGGCCACGACGTGGCACCTTATGGCCACGAAGTGGGGCCCAAACTTGGACTATAAATAGAGCCAGTCAAGGGTTCCGGGTTTCATTGCTCAATTCTCTTCTCTCTCGTGCCGAAGCTCTGCTTTTAACCCCCGCAGCCATCCACCAAGCCCAGTCTTCGCATCAAGTTCCGAAGAAGGTCTTACACTCTCGAGAATTCCCGAGAATCCCGAGAAAACCCGCTTTTCTCCTGTCGAAGTTCTGTTCGGTTTTCACTCATCATCTTCACTCTATCAAGTGAGTTCATAACCCTACAACTATGTTTTCAAATACTTTGTAAATGCTTTATACGCTTTTAGAGGGGAATACAAGTAAACACACACGATTATCCTCGTGTAATAACATAAATCTTTTGTTATACTTTTGGTTATAATCATCATATGTGATTTTAACTATCATACGAAAACGTTCTCATACAACATATTACGAACACTTTGTCCTTTTTGGAACGAAACATGTTGTTTAAGTAAATAAGAAACCTTTATTTATATTTTGAGTATAAATGTTCAATAATGTTTTATAAATGATTTTTACTTTACATACAAAGTCGACACTACACTAGGGTTTATCAGACAACGAATCACACTTTGGAAAAAACTATAATAGGTATAGTTTACTAGATATGTCTAGGATTTCACATACTATAATACTATATCAAGGGAATACTTTCATATACAAACAAATGGACTTTTCATACGTAAATCTATTTGATACTAAGTTTTGTGAGACATTCAACTTCACGTACGTTCAGTATGCAGTTAAAGTCCTGTATTTATATATCATAATCTCTGTAGGGAGAAGCGTGATTCTTGTGTATAGATCTATACGGGATTGACAATCCCGCACCTAAACTGTTAGCTACAGTTAGACCGGTAAGTCTGGGGTGACAATCGTCATAACATTCCAACGCCTGAAGAACGTTGTTACGGGCAGTCTGGGTCAATAGCATGGTTATAAAACTCACATGGAGTATTAAAAACAGGTGTGATTTACAAGGTTTCAAATGCCTTAGTGATTTTATACATACATAAATCTACTATTCTAGCACGAAACACTTTTGCATTTCAGTTTTGGAACTTTTAAACTACCACAATATTTATGGAAAAACATTGATTTCTAAAAACAAACATTCAATCAGTCGAGTCTTGGTAGAAGACTACTTGTTACTAGTATGAAATAGGGATTTTCTAGGAGTTTTTCAAACATCTACAAACAATTTTCATTCAGATTTATACAAACATTAACATTAATACTTATGAACTCACCAGCTTAAATGTTGATCTACTCTTTCAAATCTACTTGTATTTCTCAGGGATTCAGTAATACAGGTAACTTCAGCTTTTGGAGAAGTGGCGCTAAGGCGTCAGTTTTAAACTCATTTTGACATCATATTGTGATTTGTTTTGAAACAAGTATCGTTCAACGATGTAACTTTTAAATTATATATATGATGGTTGGTTTACTTTCTTTACTATGTATTCAACTGTTACGATACTACATGAAGTCATCCGCCCTCGAACGATTCCGCCGTTCTGGTTTGGGGGCGTGACAAATTCTTCAGTCCTTGCCAGAACTGAGCCGAGGCCAAACTTGACTACGGTCAGGAGGACCGAGGAGATCAGTAAAGCCTACTCTGCTTACATCACATACATGTGGTTTAGGCACGGTAGCACAAATGTGCAGGATCCATGAACCGAGGGACACCTCGGTGCGAAATCAAGGTTTTGACGGTTATGAATCTGATGATACCTTCACTCGGGATCGTCCCACTACCAAGTCTGGTATCAAGAAATATGAAGCTTTTTGTAGGGCTTTTCAGGCTCGAAAATACAGGCAAATGCAGTAGCTTCAACAAAAAGAAAATGAAATTCAAATGGTGGCTAAGTATTGGGCAGATGCAATCAACAACACCAACACCGTAACCAACATCATCAAAATTCAATACTGGATGACCACAATGGTTGAGACCATTCGCAAAGCTCAGTCCATTCCAGATGGTGCAGGTAATCAGGCCCCTCCAAAACTGCATGCTCATGACTCTCAAGATGACGGAACCCGCAATCGAAGTCAGTTCCGGGCCTACTTTTGGCTTTGATGACTTTGACATAAATGAGGTCAACCAATCGGAATGATCAGATGATGTGATGATGATCTTTGATGAAGAAGAAGAGTCGAGCAGATCCCAGCATTCTACTTCAAAGCCCAAGGAAAAGAAGAAGAAGAAGAAAATGGTTGTTTCCAGGAAAGAATTTCTAACCTTGCAAAACAAGATCGATCAGATCTTAGCCGCAGTAAAATCCAGCCAACTGCAACCTGAAGACATGCCTGGACCGCAATCCCTGATCGACAGGATAGAACGTCTAGAAGCAAGAGAACGACTCGTTGCTGATAGAATCTCTCTCAAGTTTGAAATGGGTATCCGAGCCCTGGATACAAGCTGAAAAGCAGATCATCAACATACGAAATTTTTTGGGATTTGACTTTGAACAGCACATCAAACTCTTCTACTAACAAGACCGAATCACATGTATACATAAAGAAAACACTCGTCACAACTCATCTTGTTCGTCAAAAGCCAATACAAGAAATAATTGACACTATGCGGGAAACTTCTATATTATACCGTAAATCGTACAAAATATTCCAAACCTCACTTGTGCACATTTCATGCATAAAATAATATCTCAATCAGAAAATATAATTCACACAGTTTTATGTTTTTATGTTCTTTTTTTTTTTTTGTATATCTTCTCTTCAAAGTTCACTTATCCTAAAGTTATATCATGTAATCAATACAATTTTATTATAGATAAGAAAACTTTGTTGCCTAAATTTGGAGATATATGGAACTATTGTGTCTTATAATTGAGCAAAATGGGTTCTAAGGTGGAATTTTGGGGACACATGGAGGGGTGTTGGATTCATAAGGTCGATCTATGGGTTGCATTTGGTTTTGATTGGTGGATATTCCAATGTGTCGATTTCTTTAGGTTTGGTTGGCCTATTTTTATTTGGGTTGCAACAGATTTGAGTTTAATTTCTCGCAGCCCATCAACATTTATGAAATTTGGTTTTGAAAATGCTAAGTTGTGGTGTTAAAGACATCGTTTTGGCTTTTTATGTTTTTATATTGGTTTATTTATGTTTTGTTTATCATTTATTTTTCTTAAGTTAGTTCAGAACAAACATAAACGAAAATATAATTTTATATATAATTTGTTAAAAGAACAAAAAAAAATATATATATATTAGTTTATCTGTTCGTGAGTTAGATTTTTTTTGCAATGAACAAACATAAGCAAGATTGTTCGTTTATGTTCGTTTCATTCGTAACCATAACATAATTGGATTCAACTTTCTTTTGCCTATTTGGCCCATAAAGAGAGTTAGACAAAATATAATTGCATAAGCCCATCTGTTTATCCATTTATGGGGTTCAAAAATGTCAAATGTCTTTTTTTTTTATATATTTGGGTAACTGATTTTATTTAATCAATGTAATTTGTGAACGTAATAACAATTTTTGATATATTGGTAAGATTTAGTTTTTTATTATTTAAGAGAAATAACCATTTTTATAACCTTTGCAATAAAATTGGTTATCAAACGGTAAAACACAACTATTTATTTACAACTTTTTAATATTTTGTTCTCATTTTCATAATACCACTTTTTCAACCAAAAAGTCATAAGTATTTGGTTATTCTTGTAGTGTCTTAAATGATCATAACTCAAAACATTCCAAGAGTTTGCTATCTTATTAACACAACTTCATATAACAAAAGCCATCATCCGAATCTTATCTCCTACAACTCGTTCAACTACAACCGATTATCCCATTTTAATTATCTAATACCACATAATCAGTTTCAAGACATCACATCCAAACACGTTTATTACAAATGACAGGACAGGACTGAACTGGATAAACTTCTAAGATTGTTTTTCTGATAAGAATAAAAAAGGCATTCACGTCTTCTCCACAAATGAGATTGACAATGTGTCTTTTTTAGTGGGACAAAAAAAAGTAAAATTTGTATCCCACTGATATCAATCTCAGTCTGAATCCAATGCACAACAAACATTGATCTGTTTTGTCATGTCCTGTCATTTCCTACGAAACAAATGGGGTCTAAGAAACCACCACAAGGCCTACTACAACTTATTTGGGAAAGCTATTTGTTATTACAACACAAAGAACTTCAATCATGCTTTCAATAAAGCATTAGTAAGAGGTATTTTAAGTGTGTAGACATGAAAAAATAAAAAGGAAGAAAAAAAAAAAGCAATGACCAAAAGAAACAACACCATTTAATTTATTTTTGTTGCAGGCAAGTCTTTCAAGAGATTAAACCTGGTAAGACAACATGAAAGAATACAATTAACTCAAGTATGTGATAACAAATTATTAAAACATAGTGATATGTGAATTAAGAAAACATTGAAAATATATGATGAAATAAATGGATATGTAATGAAAGTAGAATGTCTAAATAATAATAAAAATTGTAACATTAAGGTAAATGAAGCTTTCCACATTAAGTCCTAACTTTTAACGAATTTGAACTCATTGCATTTCATCAATTCATTTGCATCCAAGAGCAAACTCCAACAGTGTCAATAGGGTGTTTGGATTTACATTACAACTGATTATTGCAAACTTGAAATTGCAGTAATCAACTCTTTTCTGATTTTAACTAATTCAAGTTCAAGAAATCAGTTTGAGGCATCAGATACAGGCCCTAATTATGATCAAGGGTGTTTCTAATGGTGAACAATGACTACAAACTTATAAATTATGATTCATCATCAATCTACTTAGCTCATTAGTATCCCTGTATTTGTGTATTGAAGAAACCCTAACTTTAAGGAAATGATAATAAGAATTGTAGAATGCACGAAGACATAGTAACTTGCAGTAATTCAGCTATATATCACTTTTCATTTCGTCAACAAGCTAATTAAGCAAGCAATGTTCAGGGCAAATCAGAACCCCAAATGAAAAACAAAACCTCAAGTATATTTGATATTTCAATCAATTTAGGAATTAAGGTTTAATTCTGACCTGATTACTTGCAATAACCTCCGCCACAGGCATTGTAGTCTTCTTCAACTGCAGTTGTCAAATAAACGGGAGGGAAATCAGCGACATCAAAAGACTTCTCCTTCATAGCTTTAACGATGTCATCTTTTTTCAGAACGGTGCGGCGGATGGGCGGGCGGTTACGGCGCTGATCGCGAGAGAAGTATTTGATGTCGAACACGGTTTCTGGATCGGAGGTCGGGACGATGGCCTTGGCCGGTTCAGTGGCCGGACAAAATGGCCGGTAATCGGCGGCAAGAGGCAGTGCGGACTTGTATTCTGGGTCAGCACATGGGCCAGTGATTTCCCATGGCTTCTTGATGTAGCGTCTTATGGTTTGAAGGAAGGATTTGCCTGCGGATGCCATGGCCGAAGATCTGGAGGAGAGGACGATGGGGATTTAGGTTTTTTCTATAGAACTAGTCCCATTAAAGGGGGGTTATAAAAGTTTGGGGTGCAAAGTCACATTAACTAAATATCTGGGGGTATAATGAATAAAAGGAGGTTGGCACAGTTTGGTATATTGCATAAACAGTCCCTGAAAGTATAATTGTCTCTTGGATTGTTCTAACAAGCAGTGGCGGATCCAGGATCAAAGTAAAGGGGTATCCCCGACAAGCAAATGGGTATCCCCAACAAAAATAATCGCATAATACACAATAAGAAAAAAAAATTCCGGAAAATATTATACTACTAAATTTTTTTTTAGGGGTATCTCGGGCTACCTTGGGATATATACTAGATCCGCCTATGCTAACAAACATATACAAAATGATTATCAAACCTTTATATTTACATGGTCTTAAGGATTGTGATTTGAAATAATGACTTATTACTTTTTGGCCATCGATATAAGGTTGAATGGTATATCCTTCACAATCGGACATCACGATGAGTGTTGGAGGGCACGATCGTGCACACAGTGGCGGAACTAGGGGTTCCAGGGGTGGTATGTGTTACCCACTTTACTTCCTTAAATTTTCATGCATAAGGTAAAAAATTTCGACGTAGTGTTAATTTTCCGACGTGCTACCCCCAAAATCATATGTGCTACACCTCGAACTTTGTCCTGGTTCCGCCACTCCGTACACACCACCATGATAGTAACATTGTGCTAAACTGGAGCCACGATTGTGGCCTTATATAGTCTTCAGCACAACCCTTCCAAGCACAACCCTTCCATGAGCGTGATATCTCTCTTCCTCTCTCTTGTTTTTTTGTTATGGGATTTTGGCATGTGGGGAGTACTCCACGTTATAATGCGTTGGTGATTTTGGTTGAGCTAGAAGAAACTCACGCCCATTGGCTTAAGAAGTATACCCTAAAGCCCAAGTTAAAAGAATGTTTATTGATTGAAAATGATTTTTAAAATAGTTTTTCTTTTCATCACTAAGAACATTCACAACAATCTACATTGTCTATAGTTTTTCTATTTTATCATATCAGTTTTGTATTAAGTTTATCAAAATTAAAACTATTAACTTAAATATTTTCCAATCATTAACCATTTTAAAAGCTTTATTTTAAATTAAAGAATTTATCTTCATATTTGTTAAATGTTTTATGAAGCCTTTCCATCTAATTTGTTATTTTTTTAAGTACATGTAATTTATTAAAAAAAATAAAAATAAAAAATAAAAGAAACCCCCTTAGCTATGACATTAAATAAAATCAGTATATTACAATCAATAAACTTGAAATAAGTAGTACTATATCTAGAATCCATATTTCAATTTTATCTTGTCGCTTAAGATTTAATAATACGTTATGACAGTTAAAATCATGACTTACAAATTTAGTATTTAATATCATGGATTAAAATGAAAGAAATTAAGTAATAAAAAAAATTGAATGCCAAATATAATTAAAGGATTAAAATGTAACATTATTTAATAAAGAGTGTTAATTGTATAAAACACAATTTCAAAAAAATAAAACATTTAGTTAAAAGTTGTTGATATATTTGACCCAAATATATATTTTTTCTAACTATAAAAAAGGGTGTTGCTATTAAGACACCCCTTAGACATTTCATAGACATTTTTATCAAAAATCAACCTATAGGTAATTATTTTTAATCATCTTTTTCAGAAAATAATACAATTTCAACCAAGAAAAATATCTTAAAAACTATATAGGGTGTCTAAATGATAAAATGGGGTGTCTCTTTAGCCAACCCCTAAGTTAAAAAACTTTTCTAGATACTCGATGAGCTTTTAAGAAATGATTATTTTTCTGACTTCTTGAGATAAAAATGACAATACGCCATTTTAAACCTAATAAATATATGCTTCTTCTAATCTTCGTGCTTCTGCCGATCCCCAATTTCAATTTCTCCCTCTCTATTTTGTTAATTTTCTTCCATTAATCCCAACCATCATCCTAGTTATAGCAATCGGTGAATTTTCATTCATGATCTACCTTGGTCATGTATCATCATAACCTTCATTTTCTTCAATATTGAGTAAGTGATCTATCATAGGTAGCCATCATTATCGTCTTTCAAGCTTCTCAATTGTTAGGGTTTTTTTCTTTTGTTATTTTTACGACTTATTGTATTCAATATCTTGTTTGATGTTAATTGATTCGTTAGCTCGGGTGTAGATTTATAGCCTCTCATAATGTTTCTAAACTTTTTACAACGTCGACTTTAGAGGTGACAAACAAAATGAATAGGCTATAAATACGCAAAAACTACTTAGACCTTCTACATCGGTCCTTTCAAAGTTTCTTTTTAATGTCACTCGCCAAAAGTTAATGTCACTTGTACTTGGTCTTTCAATTTGTGAAAGTCTTGCAATTGTTATATATTAATCAGCTCTAATAAATGAAAATAATTTTGTCACATGTTATTCTTTCCTTCAATTTGTCAAATGTCAATTTGAGATAATTTAGAGATATATATTTTCCACTTTTCACTTGTCCTTTACTTCATTTTTCATTTTCCAATAAATCATTAATTTAGTTTCTATAAATTAAATATATAACTATATTAAATTTAAATTTCAAATTTTAATTTTTAATTTTAAATTATAAAAAATTACAGTTTAAACCTTCGTATTTAACATTTTGTTATAATTTACCTGTTTAGTACATGGGTCTGACAACTAACCACGTAATTTTAATTTATTTATTTTTTGTATGTTTATTTATTTTAATTTTTTTTCTCATAATTTTCACTTATTCCAAATTTCAAATATAAATAAACTTTCTGTTTACTCATTCGTATTTAACATTTTGTTTTCATCAACTCGTATAATATACGAGTTTCACACCTAGTATTTAATTGAATCATATGGGTGCTCTACAGGAAATATGAGTTATACCTTTTATAATCAATATAATAAATTTTCAACCATTCTTATATATTATCTTTTTAATTAAATAATCACATTTAATGTCTACATGACATTTGGAATGGCTTGCAAACACCACCACACCACCAACGATGTAGAGGCTCTTAAAGGAGAGAAAATAGCCTAACTAAAAAAAATTATTATCTATACCGGGCTGAAAATTAACATTTACATAACATATTCCTTTACTATCCAACCAAGTTTATAGGGAATAAGTTGTCAATATCCAATATGTGAAGGTTCATCAAGTGCTAATGTTTATCCCTTAGTTATTATGTGTGACAACTAAATTTTTTGTAAAAGTAAGTTGTTATAAATGGTTGTTATAGAATGTAATGAAAATCTTTGTTTTACATGTGTGTAATGATACAAAAAAGGGTAATTTGGTCAAAAATCACAAAAATATAAAATTATGGTTGTTATTACCTTTAGCTATTCTATTATAAGTCAATTAGGTCATTAAAAATGATTTTGATAGAAACAAAGACAAAAATGAGAAAATTATGAAGAATTAAAAATTTACCTGAATTAATGAAAGTATGAACTTTGGAGCTTTATTAAACTAACCAAACGTAGGTATGAAAGAACAAGCAAGGTTGAAATAGAAATATGACATATATAACTAAACAATATAAAAAGAATTGGCTTAATTGGTAAAAGAATGAGTAAGTTATGAGCATGGAAAGTTAAAACAAAATTCATTCAAAGCTAATTGGATTTTATAAAATTCCAAGGTAACATCTTTAGGGATTAAAAACTACATATTTATAATGATTCAAAAAGAGCCATAAAACTGAAAGTTATAGACATTGTGTTGTTGGAAACATAGGAAAAAGATTCAAGAAAATTTGAGTTAAAACGAAACAATTATTGTAACATCCCAGAAATCAAGATAAAATTTTCAAATTTAAAACCAGCCCAAAAGCCATAAATGTTTACAAAACATAGTTTCCAAATGTCAAGAACATAAATAAGATTTTTCCCATAAACAAATCTCATAAATTTCGAAGGATGTGCACGATCAAGCCTTTGCCTTGCCCTATCCTCTAAAGTACCTGAAACCATAACAATCAAACTATAAGCCAAAGCTTAGTGAGTTCCCCCAAAGTACCACACGCCACCAAACAGATGACAGCATGCATATATGAGCCTTCAGCCTGATTGGACACCCTCGCAGGGCCTACAACCTGTCTGGAGCGCTTTCTGGGCCTTCAGCCTGATTGGACCGCCTCTCGGGCCTTCAATCTATCCGGACCGCCCCGGGTATCTTGGCCTTCAGCATAAAGCAGGATCGCCTCAACCCAACAAACCATAACATGTCGACATATACATTAACAATCAATAACCAACAATACATGTAATCATACAAATCTACCAATCTAAAGCATACTCAATGAACACATGTAATCATACGGATCTACCAATCTATCATATTACCATCATAACATCAATCCAATATACCAGGATACATAATCTAGTGGGCCAGCATTGGTGCCTTCGACCTACAAGTATACTGAGGAAAACTCACCTCACAATCTGAAATGTAGTTGAACAGATCACAACTCCAACTGTTGACTCTACCGGTCACCTATACAACAAACAGTGACCTAAGCTAAAACTACTACCCAAAATATCCCAAATGACCTAAGGATCAAACTTGGTCAAAGTCAATGGTCAATAGTCAAAAGTCAAAGTCAAAGTCAACTATAGCTAGTCGTCATGCCGTGTCCTTCCTTGGCCACATCGTGGCCACAAATCGACAAAACAGAAGGGTCTCGACCCAATTGCCACGTCGTGGCAACCTAAGCCACGCCATGGGGACTGGTATGGACAACTTAAACCATTAAGTCATTTTTCCCTCGACTTCAAGAGCTCCAAAGCTCAGATCTGGTCCTTCCCATGGTCTTGATGGATAATGTTTCCAACTTTATTCCTCAAGACCCCTCAATAAGTCAAGATCCCAAACCCTAACCCCTAAGGATAACTTAATGCATCAAAACTCTCATTAAGC